AAAACTTAAATCGTTTTCCTTCAGTGAAGTCCCAAAATGGCGGGTCGATTTTATAGTACTTGAAGATTGTGACGATGTCACTTAAGGCCATCTGTGGATGATTTACGATTCACTTTCAAATTTAGGTCATATCCCCATCGACTTTGTATGGCCTCAACGGTAAAGTCCTCCCACACTATGCATCGTCACCAAAAAATAAAAAGAACTCCCCCTCCCCCCTCCGACAAACTTAAGCTACCCCTGGCCCTCTAAACCGATAGATAATAGTCGGAAGAATACCTCACGAGCAAAGTTAAGTGTGTATTCATGTTGTATAGTATATTACATTATTAGGCTATTGGACTCGCAACCGTAAGGTCATGGGTTCGAATCCCATCAGGGACCCGACGTTGTGTTCTTGGGAAAGGCACTTTACACGAATTTTCCTCACTTCACCCAGGTGGGAATGGGTACCCGGCTACAGACAGCGAAAGATCTTGTCAGTTTGTTAGTGTTTGAGCACTTAATCAGCTGCTTGCACTGTATGCTTCCCGGGAAGCTGAGAATGTTTCGGAGTGTTCTATGGTCTGCTGGGGTAATAATATAGTGTTAAGCGCATAGAGCCTGCTGTTGAGCGGGGATATGCGCTATACAAATGCTATTTATTATTATTATTATTATTATTGTTATTATTATTATCATTATCATTATTATTATATTATCATCTTTAATGACACTTTACCCGCCTCATCTCGCCGATCGGCGATGCTTACCACCCAGTTTCTTTGGATTTTCCCCAAAATGCCTTTGCCTTTGATGGCAAGGGACTGTTTTTTTTACTATAATTATATGAGCCATGTGATGGCAAAGTGTTAAACTATTCGTGTCAATAAACATCTATGTCATACGTGTTTACTGCACGTAGGATTTTAACTAGTCGACCCATCTCCTGGATAAACCCGTTATTTTCTACAAGTAAGACACAAAGAAGAAGCTTTAAGAAGAATACACCGTCTTATATCCCCATATGCCCCAAAACTGACGAGAGCCTGATCTCTCTGTATACAGCCACATTTGCGAGGCAGCGAGGGGAAATCAGACGTTGGTCAAAATAATGAAATTGAAGAAACTGCCGTTTTCCCGCTGGTTTGGCAGTTTTTGTCTAATTTTTACTCGCATAAATTGGCTCAACGCCTTTTGTGTCCATCTAAAGTCACATTTCTATTTTTATTTCATTGCAAGCGTTGATTAAAGGCACAAAATTAGTAAATTTTAAGTTTCCAAGTACTCTCAAGGCATGCAATTCACCAAACTTTTGCAGGCATTTTCTCGCTAATTTTACTTTTGAAACCGAGCGACCTCCACCTCCTTGAATCGCAAATATCTCGACTTATATTCAAGTTAGATCGATTTTTTTTCTTTGAAAGCAAGAAAAGTGAACAAGCTTTAAGATTATAAAAATAACCCCATATGGCCAGAAAGTGATAAGAGTCTGATCCCACCGTACACTGACACATTTGACCAGATTTGCTGTAATGAAAAATATTATAGTTGGCGAATATCTTAGGTGGATTTCGCTAATTGGTTGATCCCATTATACGGGCATTCTACAGGTACTCTTGTAAGTAAGTAGGAGAGAGTACCCTGGTACATTATTATTTCATTTTCTTCTATAAATGGACTCATCCTGTTGACCTTCACGACTTGACCCCTCCTGTTGTTTGGACTCACCCTTCCAACTGTGACGTCATTTCCGGACTTGAGGTGGAGTACACTCTCGTCCAAGGCCAGCAGGTTGACCATAGAGTTGGGGTCAGCGGTCATCCTCACGTCCACCTCCGCGCCTGGCTCACTGATGTCCACGCCGAATGACACCGTCACCTGGAAGCAGAGAAACGACGGCGTAATGTTGGCCGGCTCTTCTTGTGTACATGTACTTACTTTACTTACTTTTTCATCCTCTGTTGCCGTTAAGCGTCGAGGGGAGATGCAGTTTTCTATGATGTACTAAGACCAAGATTATATGAAAACAAACAAACGAACAAAAAACAAAACAAAACAAAAAGGATAAAGATTTAATGCCCATATCAAGACGATAAGGTTATTTTAGAGGACAAACAGACTAAGACAAACAAACAAACAAACAACAACTAAACAAACTAAATGAAATTTTTTAAAAAAATACATAGAGACAGACAAACAAAAAAGCAAACAAACAAACAAACAAAAACAAATAAACAAAACAAAAAAAGAAACCCCCCCCACCTAAAAAGCTCTTTAAATGCACTTTCTCAATCTATGACGTCAGTTGCGTTATTTGAATTCTAGGAAATATTTTGTCGAAATTCAACTGTTAAATAAATGTCCAAAAATTCAAATTCTAACAGTTGAAAAAAAGGCAAGAAAAATAAAGAGACATAATGTTGGTAAAATAATTGATTTGTTAAAAGAATAAGACGGTTATTTTTCTCTCTCCTTTAAAATTTTGCTTTATGAACTGAATTAGTCAATTAATTGATAA